TCTTAAACACACCATCAGTCAAACCTGAATCTGGCAAGTACCAGAAGATTACAGGATTGCTTGCTGTAAGTCATGGGTCCTAATCTAGTTTGAAACAAAAAGAGAGGTCAGTTTAATGGGGAATTCAGATCTCAAAATATGCTCATACTATTGCTCCCAGTTCCAGAAAAGTGGAAAGAATACTGGGGCTTGCTGGGTGTCCTAATCAGGGGCTAATACTAAACTACAATTGTGCTAAAACTTTCCTCATTTAGTTTTTAAGACTTTGAAATTACCAACATTATTAATTTTTCTCTGCCCAAACACTTCTACAGGTCTGCAGTTGAGAATGATGCTTTTCACAAGGGAGCTATTTATATTTCCTTCCATTAAAAAAAACCAACAACTTTTCACCAGACCTATATGAGGACATAGACAAAGCAAATGATCGTGTAGTAATGACATGCTTTATTTCTGTTTCAGTAGATTGAACTTGAGAGCCAGAGAACAGAAGTGTCACCAATAGGAAGCCCTCCATGCTGGAGGTAAAACAGTACATAGAGGAGGAAAGCTGCTGGGAGCAGGACAAGAAAACTGTACCATTAAACACATGGGAAAGAGTTAAGTGTACATATCAGCTGGAAAGCTGTTGACTGGGAATATTTGTATATCCCTACTGTTATCTCCTGTGTTTTTGCTGAAAAACACATTTCTTCAAACAGCCTCAATTGCAATGGCAGTACTTTTTATACTCCTAGTAGGTTTTAACCTAGACAATACAATGACAGCATCAAAAGCATACATAATTACTTTCCTCATTCCATTCGCTTCGAAGGGTAGCTGTTTCCATCTGATATTATTATTAATAGCCAGAGAAATCAAAATATAAGTATAATGTAAACATATATTGGCAACAAACTTCTACTTATGCTATATATCTTAGAACATGGCTAAGAGCATCATGACATATATTCCATTGGTATTAATAAAACCCCATTTATCTGTTTATTAATAGTGAAACTATTAGCTTAGAAATACATCTCTAAAAGAAAGTGTCACCTCCATTATGTGATGCTGAAGTCTGAATGGTGCAAGTAGCAATATAACTACACTATGTCAGGACCTGAGCAAAAATATCTTTTTACTCAGCAGTTGATAACAGAATGTGATAATGTCATGTCTGAATTAAAACAACAAGGATATTTATGTAGTGGTCTAGCACAGAGCATGCAGCATAAAGAACACACCTGTCAAATACATCTATTTGTACTACATTCTCATTTGTTAAAGTATATATCATATATTTTCATTTCATTAGACTGTTAGAAAGCAAGACCTTTTGAGATACTTACAGTGGCATCAGTTTAATACATTACAATGATGGATTGATAGTAAATTGCCTTGTTAAACAGAATGGACTTGTAGAACTGCACCAGGGAGCCTCAGGTGTGCCTTAAGCAAATTTCTAATACTCTTACCATGCCCCTCATTGATATATTCTAGTACATTTGCTCATGCATGATCTCTTTATACACGTTGTGCCTAATGAAACCATAAAATCAGGCTGCAAAATGGCTATTTATCAAAAATAAATACTTCTGAATAGAGCTCAGACTTGGTCTCATGCAGTCTCCAAGGCAAGGGCAATTAGGAGTAATTGTTGCTAGAATCACTTTTACGTGATTTTCAAGCAGCAGTCCTGGAATCTGCAACAAAGCTTACTACCTAAGAACACAGCAGTCCACATTTTCAAAGCTCACAAATTCTCTGAATCAAATTAGGGATGTCTCGTTAGCGAAGTGTGTGCCTGAACACAGCTGGTTTGCTTGCAGCCATTTGTGTACATCAGGTGTGCAGAAATACGCGCAGGTATGCAGGACCTACAGGCAAAGAAGTCTTTATATTGTCAGCGGAGCTGTGTCTCAGCCTGCGTTGCTGCCCTGCATGTGAGCTGCAGGCAGTAGGTCCCACAGTTTGAGAATAACTGAGGCCTGAGGCAGTAGCTAAGGGCAGACAGGGGAGGGGAGGCACTGGAGGGCACTGAGCTCTCCATGAGGATGATCAGACCCCTTGGCTACTCCACAGCTCTCGCTTCCTTGGCGGGGGAGCAGGTTGCTCACCTGCATACAGCACATGCACCCCCGAGCAGCGGCTCCTGTCTTGTAAAAACCACACCCCAAGCAGTAGCGAAGGCCTGGGAATGAAACTGGGGACGGACAAGCAAGTCTCAGCATACGTATGACCCAACAGATCTGAAAATGTAAAAGCTGTTCCACAGTGCACAGAAGCATGGGTCATCTCTTTCACCCCTCGATAACCACACAATGGGAAAACTCAGGCTGGCTTTCGTAGAGGAAATAATTACCTCACAAATACATTCAATGCCTTGAAGAAGTCAATGAGAACAAGGATACCAGTGATCTAGTTAGTATATTGTATTTAGGCGTCCAAACAGCTTTTGATAAGGTTCTTCACAGAATCTCACTCTGCTATGGGCTACCATCAGAGAGGATACCAGAGCAGGTAGACTGTATTGCTCACCAAAGGCTCCAAGAAAAGAGCTGTCATAGGATATAGAATGTCCTCTCATAAAGAAACAGCTGTTCAAAGATAGGAAACCAAACATACCTTTTATATTCTAATAATGCCTCCTCTTGTCATGTTGATTTTATCCCAGAGATGGTGATATTTCAGTGCAAAGCAATACCACTGCCTCCCGTATACACATGCTGTGAATCTTCGTGTTCAAAAAACGGAGGGAGGCGCTTGATCAGAGCTACAGAAGTGAGCATTTCCACAAACACATCGGTAACAACTGGCCAGAAGGGAACCTGCGCAGCAGTCAGTTTACTGATGAGGGAAGCAAAGATTTATGAGTATTTCAGTTTCTCCCCAAGTCATGCAGTCTTCAAGAAAAATGTTTAACAATTTAAATGTCAACCTTCAAACATAACATCTTAAAAACCAGACAAAAGAACAGTTCACAAATGAGACTAAAATTGGCGCTGCACAGATTAGACACATGCAACTTTCCAATGACTCAGCTGCTTTGATATTTTTATGATGCATCCACACTTACTAAATGGGATATACTTTTTTCTGTATGCCTTGGTTCTTCTGATGCTTTTGAAACAAAAGCCACACACGTTCTATAGAAGGTTGGCATAGTATCGGGGGAGAAAAAGGGAGAGTGGCAAAGCACAGAAATACAGAGACTCGAATAAGATATTATATGATTAATTCTTTTTTGCCTTGAGCTATAAGGCAACAATTGCCTACTTGCCAGGAGATTTAATTTGCTTAGCACAGCCTACAGGATATTTAAGCAGCAGTTAATAGAGGGTAAATTACAAAATGGGTAAGTAACAAAAACACTCTGCTTATCTGCATTTTGCTCTGTATCATGAAGATAATAAAATGACTGTGATTTGATATGTATCTAGTCTTTCCAACTTACTCAAACAATGTGTTGTGGTGTTTTAAACCTGAATTGCCATTGCTCATTAACAAGTGAGTCTATCACTTAGAATTAGGAACAACTTTGAAATAAATCCCCAGGCTGTAGCATCCAAACTGACTGCACTCTGCTACTGTTTGGAAAGGCAGATGTTATTTCCACTTCAGTCTGCACTCTCTACCTGTTGATGATGATTTTACAAGTCAAAGCACAAAGATAAACTGGTCTCTTACCAGAGCAAGGGGAAAGAATATGTCTTCTTAGCTTTGCTCTCATCCAACTTTTTTCCCCTCCTCTCTGCTTTGTAAGTGTATTGTTTTCTTCTAGTATAATATATCCAACACTTGCTACAAATTGCATTATCTTGAACACAAAATTTTGCCTGCGGGCTGCAATGGAAATTGTCCAAAACCCTCAAGAGGCCTCTGATTTGTCAAGATAGAGCAAAAAGCATTTATCTTCTTTTTAACTTGGACACATGGCCTGGGAATGCAGATGGCTTCAGCATGCACTACTCCTCGTTGACTGTATTATACAAGTTTCTGGCTTACATTCAGCCAATGCTCTCTTAGGCGAACACCATTTCAAAAGTAAGATTTCCTTGCATCGATATTGCCATGTTATAAGTGTCACAATTGAGTGACTGAGGTGATAGGCAGTTTACACTCCAAAATCCACACATCCTTTTTTAAAATGAACAGCAGGATCTGACACTTAAAATTCCCATTTTGACTCTCAAAATTTAATAACAACTGTCAAACTTATTAACTATTGTATGGCTAATCAACACACAAAAGAAGTTAAATATAATTGTATTATGACATTGTATGATTTGCTGTGGTACCTCAGCTTGATCTCACAACTTGGTATCCTACTTCCATCTTTTGACCTCTCCACTTTGTAGGTTACAAATGTTATATACATTTATGAAAGGACTAGCATGACACACCTACAACTGCTTAAAAGATTACACTATAGAGGTATTGTTGTTACTGGAGAACAGGCACTGCTTTAGGGCATGAAGTTTGGAAATCCAGGCAAGGTTTACAAGAATCCTGTTCAATATGCAAGGCTGATAATCCAGGCAGATAAAGGCCTAATATTCATGAATCAAACACTCAGTGCTCCTACTTTTCATATAAGTCCAAAGGAAATCAAATGCTAAATACCTCTGAAAAATCAATCCCTTTCTGGTTTGTTTGAAAACAGATTCCCAAGTCTCAAAATAATTGCCCCCTTTTTTGTGAAATAAAGTGAGATACTCATTCATACATTTCTTCCAGAGCACACAGTGGCACATCCTGGTAGCAACCTCTGGCATCTGTTCTCAACCTTCATAGAAGCTTCATGGGTGCCCACGGGCCTGCAAGTCACTGTGAAAATCACCAGTGTGATATGTAAACTTTGTCATTATGAGTTAATACATCAGTGATGACGACATTAATTTCCTTGCCATGCTGGGAAATCAATTCAGTTCTGCCAAAACTCTTCTATTCACACATGCAGCACGTGAGCAGCATCAGACAGGCTCTACCATTATTTTAACAAAACCACAGACAAGCAGTTAAACACAAAAGATCACTTTATTTCCCAAATCACACCCCTCTCATTCTTGAAAAGGTGTATTTCTAATTGTTGCTATTTTAAATACATTCTATATTTTCCTGTGAAGTTAAATACTTTAAAGAAAAATGCCCAAAGAAATAAATACAAAGCACAACAGTTTCACTTTATGATTTGCTTTGAGCGTTGTCTGGTCCTGCATCCACTGTTGAGTTCTGCTGCTCTTTGAAACTCCTAAAAAAGAAATCCAGAGCCAGCCTTCCTTGCTCTCCAGAACTCTCTGCTTATTAGCTGTTAATACAAACTGTTAATACAATGCTAGAGCATGCACAGAATAGCTTGTAGCAGTTTAATAATTCTATAACTTTCATTACAAATACACACATTGTTACTAAGGACGGAATTGTGATACTTCCTTTTCTAGATGCTCATAGAAAATTCCATGTTACAAAATGCTCGTTTGATGATGTGCATGTCCGCTGGTGAAAAGGAATTCACTACTAACAAGGTCTGATGGGTTGTTTAATGTGTAACTTTCAAAACCAGACAATTCCCAAAGTTATTGATTGGATCACTGCAGCATAATCTGCAACCACCATTTTACCTGAAACCTAATTAGCCTGAATGGTTGGCAATGTGTATCCACTGTGGTATAAAATGTTATCAAGGTCATCAGAACATGTGATGTGGGGTTTATTCTCATTTGATGAGCACAGTCCAATGCACTAGCACAGCTCCTGCTAACAGCCAGGAATAGAAGTCTGACAACGCAATTTTTATGATGGTTGCCACAGTAAAGGAGAGGTGAAAGTAGTCCAGTGCAGGCAATATCGTGTTCCTTCAAAGAGCTGAAACCAGAAAGTTGAAGCACTTCCCATATCGGAAGTTGAGCTCCTGAAAAGTTTTTCTTGAAAGAGGTATCAGTATGAGCCTGAATAGGTGTGACTGTGAATTCATTCCAGTTATGTATCTCACTTGAGACAGCATTCCTGAAAATGCAGTCAGGGTCTGGCAGGCTACATATACATGGACTTAACATTCAAAGACTACGATAAAGTCTGAAAACTTTAGCTGAAATTTGTACCTGTTCACAAGGTCTGAGGTAGTTCGGAACCACTCTATGTTTAAGAAATATAAGAAAGCTGGAAGGGGATTTAATGCACAAAACTTTCAAGATACAATGATAATTGCTACAGAGGTGAGTATAACCATATAGCTTTAAACTACTGTCAAGAAACAGGAGCAAGGATAGAAATGAGTGAAGTTCATTAAAAGCTGAACTTCTAATTTAGCCCAGCTCCTTATATTTATGATCTTTGAAGGAACAACATTAACATTTACTTCAGAAAGAAAACCAATGATAATAATTAAATTGAGCAAAGCAGAAAGGAAAGAAAATTTTACAAGATATTGAACAAGGTTAATAGACATGGGCACTGAATTGTGAAGTAATGCTATACTTCTCAAAATGAGTCCATGTGCTCAGTGTGATGTTTGAATCTCCAAACAGCTGAAATACTTTCACACAGGAACACTGAATAGTTACAAATTCTTTCAAGGTTTACTTTTGATGATGCAGTTTATTTAGAAAACAATACCTTTGTACATCCAACACACTGAGCAATGCACAGCTAACAAATTGAGTGCATATCTGGTGCATCATGGTGAGAGAGAAATACTTAAATTTATATTTAAACTGAACTTAGATAAGCCTACACAAAGACTGACCTACTATTCAAGTCAACTGAAAACCTCTTATTGATTTTTCTCTAAAGGGTAACAAACAGATTATGGAAGTACAAGCTCCAAAAGGATATGTATTTCCCATATCCACAGACAGCCAAATTTAAATTTTACTCACTAGCACTTGACAGCCTCGCGGTAGTTGCCTTTAAAGTCTGATGTGAATGAAGGGGGATGAGGGTACTCTATTCAGCATATGAAAAAGAGGTAAAAATATAATATATTTTTAAAAATCCCAAATCCTTAATATATCACTATTAGGAGAAAAGTTCCAGGGAACACCACAGCAGTAGTGATACGATGCTAGGTAGGGAGGAAAAGGGATAACAAACAGATTGGGGGAAGGATGTAGGAAAAAAGAGCTGTGAGGACTGGAGACAAACAAAACTAGCTCAGACCACAAGAACCATATCTTTGTGTTGCTCTTCCCATAAAAACTACTAAGGGCTAGCTCCCTGTGTTTTGGTTGTTTTTTTTTTTTAAGTGCTCACATTCAGATGAATGATACATTCTTTAACAAAATTCCCCAAATAAATAAATAAAAAAAACAAATAAACAAAAAACCCATGTAAAACACATCTTTGCAAAGTCACTTTGACTTCAGTAACACATACATTTTCTTAGCTATATATGCACATATGTAAATCCATACTAATCTTTCCCCCAGACTGCTCCTTGCAACTCCAGTGGTATGTTTCTAATCTAATCATCTAAGTCCCATGAACTCTGTATTACTGCATAAAAACATTCACTCAAAGCACTTACCTCTCAAAATAAATGTGACATAATTCCTGAAATCGATCCAAATCATGCAACAGCAATGCTTCTGTTATTAAAAATGGCATAAACAAATTTAAGAATGACCCAGATGTGATCCTGACCTGTAGAAAGCAGAAGAAATCCATCCCTGTTTTCCAGCAGTGAACTCACCGTGATGGCTTCAAAAGCCATTTCTCATCATGACAAATCTCTATGAGAAATTCCTGTGAAGAATTCTACTATCTTTTAGCAGCTGAAAATAACTAAAAAACCCAACAGACAGCTATATAAGATGCCAAAAAAACAATTCTGTGGCCTGACCATGCTTCAAAAGCACAATCTAAAATTTTTATGTAAAGACAAAAACTTCTTAACATCTACTGTTAAACATATTTATCGGATTCTAGGTTATTAACCATAAATCACCCAGGAACTATAGCTCAGGAGTACAGACACAACAGGTAGGTGATATAGACCAAAAATAATACAAAGGAAATGAGTGATTTCTGGTAGGTGTGCAGGTTCCCTTCTTCCTCTACAGAAAGAAGCTGCAATAACCAACTATTCACTGGGATTACATGGCACATAGTTTTAGATGCACAAACCCTCATCTGAACAGTAATACTGCCTAACTTAATATTTCATGAGTTACCTGGCACCTTTCGGACACACAGCATTTGCCGTAAAAGACCATACAGGTCAGTTTTGTAATTCCTTAGACTACTTAATATAGACTGAGGTTGTTGATGTCTGTCTGCCAGTTTCTAGGGGTCACTGGATAATTCTGAAAATCATGAAACCTAGGTTACCTTCTTTTAACTGAGGATGAGTATCTGCACAAAGAGAGTAGAGGTGCCAAGATGACAAATATGAAATAGATGAGCCAAAGTTCTAATGAGGAAAAGTTCTTTGCACCAACAGTGCAGCTCTCCTCCCTACCACAGCCCAGGGCCTAGAGTAGCAGGAGGCACTGGAGAGGCACGTTTACACCTGTGCAAGGTGAAGTCACCACTCATTCAGATTTTTAGCCGAAGTAATCTGAAGTTCAATTCCCATGATGTTTATGTAATGAATCAATTACAACTTTTTTTCAGAACACTGAGTTGTATTATTCTACTAGGCTGGCAGGAACAGGAAAAGAAGAAATTCTCTGATGTCTGGTTGGGTGATAATGTCTAATGCCAGGGGTGTGTGGGGCTGACTCTCTACTTCCTTCCACCATTTGTATATATCGTAGTAATTAAACACATACAGTATTATAAAACTGGTATTTAGCTGTACTAGCAGTCAGTCTATTGGTACATGACAGATACCTGTAGTTTCCTTATATTATACTACAGTTCTTAATTTGGGCCTTATCTAAGAAAAGCTGTAGGGTGACTTTAAAACTACTTTTCTGGTAAGCATTTTCAAAATCAAACACAGACCCAGATCCTATCATGGAATACGGGTGGGATTTCGACATTACCTCAGCCAGAGCTTTGCAATGAAAGCTTGTGAAGGGACAAAGAAAAAAGTTTGCAGGGATTTTTTGAGCAGTTAACAGAAGTCATATGAAGGCTATGGCATACAAGGTAGCTCGGAGGAATATCGGTCTGTTCTTTGGACTGCATCCCTGTCTTTGAGATGAGCATTCAACTTGCTCTATTTTGTAAACCTCACTACAGTTAAGTTGCCAATACTGAACAACAGGGCAAACCCCATCTTTGCATCTGCTCACCCATACCTTGTTTAGACATTTGCACTTTTTAAGCAACCATAAAACAGAGTCAGCATTCTTCCATACCACGATGATAGCATTTTACACTTGCCTGCACAGAATTATTTTTTTTTTTTTAGTTTTGGAGCTTTAGAACCTGTTCTAAATTCAAACTAAATAATTAGCTACTAGCTCAATTTAACATATATGTGTGACTATTTAGGTTCTCCTACAACTCAACCCAGGACTTTTTTTTCTATATCCTGAACAAAGCTTTGTGGAACCTCTATCCATATCTGAGTCAACTAGTACAACTGACAATTACAACAATTGGTTCAGAGAGTACTAAGGATTCTGACCTAAATACACCATTAACTGAGAGATGGAGACGGGAACCAGGCCTCAAACATCCTCTGGGATCCACAAATTATTATTTCTGAAGCATGGTTTAGTCCTCTGGCAACTGGTATCATGACAAAAAGCCTAAACATTTACTCTTAAATATATTAATTCTTACTGGCTCTGATTATTTGTTGACTGATCCAGCCACAACAACAAAATTACCAATCTATTAACACCTGTTAAAATATAAGCCAATTAACACTTTCATAGAAAAATGCAATGTATAGCATGTCTTCTTTATGTGAAATGACATCTAAGTTCTAATTCCTTATTGTCTCTGAGTGGGCATCACTGTATAATCAGGACTACTAACACACAACAATCAGACAAGAATGGCATTAACTTCGTCTTCTAATTTTCACACTGACTCTAGATGTACAAAACATTGCTGAATAATGAGTAGATGCTCACATGCATTTGATTGGGAAACTTAATTTAGAGTGGAACAATTACAGACATCTTTTGCTTTCTTTCATGGAAACCAACTCTCATTAACTCAGATACTAAACTGAAAATTCTCTAATTTAATGTTATCATTAGTGAAGATGAAGATGCATTAAATTAATTTGATTTTTTCATCAATGCCGAGAAGCACTGAGCTCTTTCATGAGTTGTCATAATAAACAAGAAAAATTGATTTTCATGAGGAAAAAAGAAAGAAATGTAGCTCTAAAGGAAGGAAACTGCAATGAAGAAGAGTTCCTTTTCCAACAAAATTGTTGCTTCCTCCTCAGTATGGTCTTTTACATTAGACCCAGGTTAACTTTTCTCATTGTAATTCCATTTAACATGCCATTTGAGCTTGTTTTAGAGCTGATGGGCAATGGCTTGAAAACAGCTGCACAATTTTTGCTCACTTCAGGAATTAATTTTCTTGGATAAATCAGTATTAAGGAGTTGATATTTGGCCATACATTTCTGTGAAAATCTTTTAAATGCACTTGGAATAAGTTAATTAAATAAAGAGACTTTCGAAAGAGCTTTGTTTAAGCTCCATATGAGTTGAGCCTGTCTGAATTCAACCTTTGGAAGAAAAACTGTGAAAATGAAGCCTGGGGATTTAAAGTTACTAAAGTACTAAGCAGAAACAATGGCTTAGTAGTGATAATATAGTTAGTTCCATTACGCAGAAATCTAACAGGTCTATTTTGTAGTGTCTGAGAAGAAAGCAATGAGTACATGGTCAGTTCTGCTCTACCCCTACTGCAAATAAAATACGAGTAAGTGGCAACACAGTTCTGAATAATTACAGCACTTCATCACTCCCATAAATCTTGACATTAAGCCATAACAGCATAACTTCCACTGAAAGAAAAAATAAAAAAAAATTTTAAAAATATTTCAGCAGAATATACAAGAAGCACATCTGAAATTGGGAGACAATAAGTACAGACAATAATTAGAAAGAATGAGAACATTTACACCAAACCACAAATCAGTTCTGTGTGGTATCTTCTTTTGTCACTAGTAACATGTTGCTGACACAATGTTTAAGACAGAGACCTATGCTAGGCAACACAGATATTAGGGGTGTTTGTTGGTGGGTAGTGTTAGAAGACCAAGCAGAGTTCAGTTTCCCTTAAACATTTCAACACTATTTTCTTTGAATAAAGAAAAGGATTAGGATTCTCACTAGAAAATGTGAAGTTGTGGCAGGGCTTGTCTTAAAAGCCTGGGAGCTCTGGAATTGCACTGGACTCACCTCAGTGACAGGTTATGAGAGTAACTCTAACCAATGAAAATAAAGACTGAGAAAGGCCATTTGTGACTGAGGATCAGTCTAACACTAAAAAATTCTATACCCCTGTATGAAGGGAGAATGTAAAGTTATTTTTTGTTTTGATTGATTTTTGGGGGTGGGGAAGTGGAGGGTCTATAGGTCCTCATAGTTTTTGCTTTGGGAATCTCTCATATTTGTTCATTCAGATTCTTGGCAGAGAGCAAATGTCATGGGAACTAAACAGACATTTCTGTTCAACAGTGAGTCATAGGACAAGATCAAAAAGATTTGCAGTCGGTTATAGTCTACAAGACTTACTTGCATCACAAAAATTAATTCTGCATATCAAAGATTACAAACCAAAAATCCTGTTCTTTCTATGAGAGCCTAAACTCAGAAGACTCAGAACAGCTGGCACAAACATTTAAAATTTTTTTTTTTTTTAAACATTCTCTGCAATGGTGACTACTGAAGACTAACAGATAGGAAGCTATGCCCTTTGCTTTTCCACAGCTTTAGAAAAGCAAACTTGTTTGATCAAACTGCAAAGAAATACCACCACTGACACAGAAGAACTTAAGTACCAAAGACAAGACGCGCTCCATGCGTCTCAGTAGTTCCAGCATGGATTACAACCAGAATAGAAAAGTTCTCTGTTTTTACTTTTGGACCTTAAACAAGCGAGTTGTGTCCCCAGTAGCTGATCTCAATTCTTTCATGCTCCAAAGGCTGTTATAATCAGCACCCCAGACTAGGTGCTGGTCGGCACAAGCAGTATCCTGCCTCAGCACTCCAGACCAAGGCAGCTGTGGCACATATGCTAAGCTCTCTCTATATAATGCCACGGGCATGCATCTTCACTGACAGACATTCACAAGTCAGAAGACAGCAGTGGGAAAGGAGGGGGCTGTACGTAAATGTCAGAACTCAACTGCAATTTGACAATGAAAAATACTATATTATTATTGATAAAGCCTAATCAATTTTATTTCAAACAAGAAAATGGAAGCTTTTCTCCTTTGAAGTTTCTACTGATTCATTGCTACCACTTGTTATATTTCTTCCTGTTTTTAGCACAACCAGTATCCAACAGGGAAATTCTTTCAAATTAACTAGTGTGATAAATTAACATACTATTTGCTATGTAGATATAACTCTTTTTATCACTATGGTTATGCAAAGGAAAACCGTATTTATCCTACACTAGCTTTGTTTTTTTCCGACAAGGCTATTTGTCACCACAGGAAATTCCAAGTTCATAAAACTGGAAAGGTGGCATTTTCAATACAATATACTTTGTGAGGAGTAACAATGCTCCTAATCAATTTTGCCAATTACATCTGCATTTGTCTTAATACAAAATCACTTTGTCCCTTACTGAAAGACCAACACGGATCTCTTCCTAAAAGTCACGCAGACCTAGAGAGTAAGAGACTGCATCATCACCGGTGTGGAAACACTTAATATGAGCAAAGTAGCAGGCAATGTAATCCAGATAGACATAGATGGATAACGAATTCTGTGGCTGTAAAGTAAGCGCCAGATCTTTTATAATGCAGTGTAAAAGCATCATATTTTATGAAGATTATGAGAAAAGTTTATGCACATACAGCCCCTGAATTTTTAGCTCCAGACTGTAAAGCATTTTTTTATTGGGGAAAAAAAAAGAAGTATCCGCAAATTATTCTTCTTGCATTCTGAACAATTGCTTGTCAGCAACCAGATGAAGTTCCACTTTTCTAAACCAAACATTTTTTATGATCTGTTTCAAGTTTTCTTAGAAATACAGGTAAAATTTAAGTAATCATCCACAGTAGTGAAAAATATATTCTTCTTCAAGATGGATGCTTGATTTATGAATTTTCTTTTTGAGTGTAAGAATTTACAATTTTGTACTTTGAAAAGTGAACTAAGGTCAAGATTAATATAGCATCCATTAATTAGTTTGTTGATATCATGAAGGCTTTTCTTGTCATCCCACTGATGAATGAGGGAATTTGCATCTCAGCAGGTAAACATGTTTGATACTTCCTTAATCTACTGCACAGAATTTGCTACAGCCAAAAATAAGAGACAAAGTGGAATACAGAGTCAAAAACAATTTAGAAAACAAATTACTAGTTACAAAGGAATATGAATAAAGAATAACTTTAAAAATAACATATATTCTGGAATTATGTGTTCAATAAACATTTTCTTTGCTAATGGAAGCCTTCAGGGAACAAATACTTATTTCATATGCCTTCCATTCTGCTGGAGTAACTTTAGATTTCCACTGTAGCTCTACCTGTTATTTCCTTCTGTTTTCCTTGCCTTGGTTAGATTAGAGAGGTAGGGTGTTAATGGGGTACTTGATGAAGACTGACGACCTATTTTCTCCCCCCTTGGAGACCAGTCTGATTTGAACAAATTGAGGAGAGTGAAGCAGTTTCTTCATGTCCTTGGGAAAAATCTTTTCCATTTCAGCATTTCCGGCTTTCAGACATGGTCCCCTTTGTTCACAGAGAAAAAGAAAGAAAAGGTATCAGCATAAGAAGGTTCTGAATAATTTCATATAATGTCAGTGGGGCTGCAAAAGCCTCCTTTCAATCTTCTTTACGGTTGGTGAGCATGTGAACGCGAAGTGGATCCAGGAGTGGAATGCAGGGAACTAGTGCTTGCAGCTCGAACAGGGCGAGAACCAAGCTGTTGTCCACCAGTCCCCACCTCTGTTGTCACTTCCTTACTACCCTCATCCTTGTGGGTAGTGTTTTGTGCTGGGCACTCAAAATGCACACAGTGAAACACCTGAAGAGAACAACAAATGAAGATAAAGCAAAGCAATTAATGTTGGACAAAGCGTGATCAAAGTCAGGTGAAGTCTGTATGAAAGTATGCGGGCCAGCTCAGTGCCAAAGTACTTAGTCAAATTAGAATGCTTCACCATTAGGTCAAAACCATCTGCCCATGGGCCATAAACATTATCAAGTGACACAGCTGGAGCAAAAGGCAGCCTTCAAATTATACTAACCTTTACACGTGACACTAAAAATCAGAAAGATGGTTCCAAAGCAGATAGAGATACTTGTAAATGATTTTTTTCTTTGCCAAGTAGCATAAGTATCTACCACATGCTATCAGATGACAACAATTATATTAATTGTCTTTAATGTATCTTATGATCTAATAACTTCCTCAAAAGACTGAATGTTCATACACACTAGAAATGAAATGTAAATCATTACCCATATGATTCTATTTCAAGATTGCCTTCTGCTGTGATAGCAATGGGAGCTCTACGGACACATCCTGGAGTATGTAGGAAGGCATTCAGTGTCCAAGGAGGCTGCTGCTTCATCAGATGAAATACTCCATTTCAAACAGTGATCACTTTCTGATGTTTCAAACAATACACAGGACCACTGTACTAGTGACTGTATCTTACAGTAAAAGGACCATCTGTTTAAGCATTTTTTCCAATTTATTTTCTACTTTACTTACTCTTACTTCTACTTGTTCTTGAAGTGCCTGGGAGGAGAAGGGGGATGAACTCTTTAAAATTGTTACAAAACTTCTTTCCATATTTCTCATTGCTATGAATTGCAGCTTTGCCACATACTAAACAAATAAATCTTTTCTTATACTGATTTAAAATTTGCTATTTTCTAATGCACTGTAGTTTTATAGCTAAAACTGGATTAATATTAAAAATTGAATTTTAAAATTATTGTTTTAACTTAATTTTGTATGCTTTTATGACATCTTCTATCATTCTTGCCAGTAGATCATGTCTTTAAAGTTCTTCTCACAAGCAAAGGTAATCTCTTACAATCTTAACTGTTCTTTACCAGACCCTTTCAAGTTAATGTGGGCAAAATCAAATACCATAAACAAGACATGGGCATACTACATATTTATACAAGGCTACAGAATATTATCTTTTCTATCCTTTCTTCAATACAACTGAAAATCTGATTACTCTTTTTGACCATCCATGCTCAAGTGCACATTGAAGCAGATGTCTGCAATGACATGTCTGCAATAGCCCCTAGGTGTTTTTTGAGGAGGTAGCTATTTAATTCAAATTCTGACAGCATAACTGAAACAAATAAAAAAAATATTCATAGTTGCTGTTTTTTTTCTTTATCCCCATTATATTTTCTTATGCCTCTCAGTCTAAGAATTCTTACAGCTTTTTAATACAGATCCATAGTGATATATGTTTATATTTCTATATATACACACATGCTCACATAAAGATGTATTGCTATGCCTTTACATATACACATACAAACAGATTACAAATCTATACCCATACCAACACACACAGACACGTGCACAAAATGTTTTTTCTCTGCGTTTCTTCTAGTGATTTTTTTTCTAAAGCTGAACTAATTTCTACAGTGGCATCAATTCTCTCCATCTGTTACAGTTCTTGAGAAGCCAATTTTTGCATTCAGCTACACTTCTTGAGAAGCCCCTTTTACACTCATCCCGCTCCCTTTTTTTAAAGTAATAGCTATTGTAATTTTTCCAGCTGCACTTATAAGCATCAGGATTTTCAGAAAAGAGCATTATCTCATCAGTGCACCTCTGTAAGATGCTGCTTTCCTTGAAAGGCAGCACGGTCTAATGAATGGAACGGAGGTCTCGAAGTTAGAAGATTCTATATTTCTACTGTATCCCATACCAACAGTGTTTCTCATTTGAAACTTTGCTTTACATAGTGATGCATGCTTTTTCAAATGTAGTATGTATACCACTGAAATTTAGCTAGTACTTGTCTATAAAGTCTGAAGTAGCCGATTCTTAAATTGTAACTTTCATTTTTACCCATTCTTTCATACTAAATTCTCAGTGCTCAGCTCAGCTCACATTACAAGCCTGTGAATTTACAACATTATTTTGAGTTACTCTGCCACTTCAACATACAGACAATACAGCTTGTGAAAGAAGCAGAGGACAGAGAAGTACAACTGAGCTCATCTGCTTCACCCGCTATTGGAATTACGTATTTCAGAACAATATTACTAAAACACATAATCCGACTGTGTTTCTCTCAAAAGGCAGAGATGACAGTTCAGCATCATCCGCTGATCAACAGCATGTTATACTTCTTATGGATATTTTAAGAAAGGTCTGACATACGTAGCAGGAAGGCCAAGTAGATATATACTGGTGCCGTAATTTGTAAGATAAAGCTCTCACACCAGCAACTAGGTGTCCTTTTCGGGTCAGTAATACCGAAGAGGAATAACAAGATAAAACTTACACAGTCAAAGTATCAGGTGACCTGTCTGACAAACAAATGATGACAAGGGCTAAGGAAAAATAATCCTTTTCTTTATAGAAATAGGATGTCTGGAAGCTCAAGAAAACAAAAAGTTACACTTATATCATGTTCTAATGTACCACAAAATATTCAAATGCAGGTCAAAATTCTGTGAACATCATGTCTTTCAAAACTTGGAAAACATGACAAAGGAAAAGATTAATTTAGAAGATGAAATCATTCACAAAATGCAGAAATTTTATGGGACTTTTTGCAATTCCAAAAATCAGTTCTTCCCTTTGGAAAGTACAGATTGTGCTTCAAAGTTCAAAGGTATGTGTTGCTAAAACAAGTAGAGAATATTTTTGCACCTATTTCAGTAAAACTTCTTGATGAGAATATGCTGCCATTAGCATCTTTTGTTTAAAATGAGAATGGTTTGACATAAAATGCAACCAGCTGTGGGCAAATAATTCTGGAAACTGCTTGTGTTCTTACTGAAGAGACTACCGAGACTCCAGAACAAACCAAGACTTTGGTTACATTGTTATTGTTTAAGTTGGAAGTATGAAAAATATTTTGCTGCCTTCTTTGGAAAATGAAAATGTATGACAAAACGTTACAGACCATCTGTTTAATATATATCAAAACAATGTAGTTTAGTAATATGTGCACGCTGATAATGTTCTTCCTCTACAGGCTTTAGGAGAAATATTTTTTTTTTCCCCAAAAAAGTTAGTGTTGGGTAGAGATTTTAAAGACAGAAGAGGAAAAGACTGAGAAACAGCAGCATGTGTTTATAGTTCCATTGAGCCACTACATGAATAGCTGTCCTCAATTTGCATATGCTGATCTTCCCTATAGTTATGTAGTTCTCCATATAACTAACTACTCAGGATATTAAATTCCTTGGAAATAGTAAACAATTTAAAATTAGAATTATGTTTAAAAGCCCCTTACTCTTAAGTGCTTAAAGCTCACTTTAAGAGTTAAAAGTTGCAGGTAATGTTTCTTGTAATTTGCTAAGTTTACACAATGCACCTCATTTTTTTTAATAAAGAGATGAGAATTTATAGGGACTGGCATGATAGCAAACAAGACTGTCTATATGGATCAGTAATGGAAAAGGCTTCTTCATGCATGTAGAACAAAGCTGGAGACAGCTTCTGATTCTATTTCTAAGAACTCACTAATTAAGACTGAACTGTGCACCAGAAGAGACAGTGCTTTGAAAAAAATAAATAAATTCATATTCCCAGTTCAGTTGATTGGCCAGCTTCTTTCCAACTGTCTGCTGAGAAATATTATTGACATCTGGTGTTGCATACATTTGCAATAACTGCTCTAAAATTGAACATAAACAATGTTATTTGATAATTCTTATGACGCTTAAGAACCAGCAACCCCATGTATTAAATATGACCAGAAATTCTGACTCTTAATACCATTAGAGTTGACAAACTCTGATTACTACAAATGTAAATGTGCTAACCAAAGTTCACTGTAAAGTGTGAAAGTACAATGTTTTGTGGTGAACTACACGTGTGGGATGTAGACATGCATGCACACAGAACCAGCAGCTTTCAGTGCTTCTTATAATCTCATCACATAAGGTCCTAATCTCAAAAAGATTTACATACATTTCTAAATTCACATATTGTAAACTGTTTCACTGAAGTCAACTGTAAAATCTGGACTTCATTTGAGACAATACACAACAATTATGAAAGACAGAAGCACAAGTAACCAAAAAGAGGATGACATTGCACTTGGTCAGTTAGGGTAAAGTGTATTTCTTTTCTGTATAAAATTAATTGAAAAAAATCTCTTAGTTTGGCCACTACTGGTTAACTGATTTACCAGGTATGAAAATTAATTGTAAGAGAATCTTATGGAAATAAGAATTTCTTATAAAGAATGGATTTTTCTTATGTTTTATTAATTTAAAAGATAATATAAAGGTGATAAAACTAAGTAATCAGAGACTATACACCCTTCTTTAGTGCACTGAAATGGTATTTTAATCATTCATCAGAATAAGAGATAATTTAAACCAAACACAGTAAGAATGTTTGATGACACTGTGCAAAGGTCAAAACCAGAAACAGTTCACTGTGCTTTGTAAAAACCCCAAAATATCCCCCACAGTGGCAACGACCCTTCAACTCTGGGAAGATGAAAATACAGTTCACAAATATTCAAACAAGAAATGCATTCATTCTTATTTTGCTAGGTTGCCAGAGCAAAAAAATGAAGTACATTTTAGAAGGCATTATCAATGTCAATGCAAGATATGAAAAATCGTACTTTGTATATTCAGGAGGAATGTAGGTTTTCTATAAAGTTCCTTACCTCATTAGCTGTGTTGTGAGTTCCAACTATTCTGATAAAAGATGCAGGCTGTTTATCAAAAGTGATTGCTTGCCAGGATCTACAAAAAAGTCCAGAAAGACATACAAATATTAAACACTGTGACAACAGCTTGCAGTAAAATATACAGAGAATCCATTCAAGTGACAGTACATACTATTATCACTTAACAGGGCAAATAGAGAAACACTTTTAATCAAATGAACTTCCATCTCTCTTTGTTCAATTTTATTTTTAAGTGCCTTGACTCTGCTTATGTGCTTCCATACATACGTTATACTACTATAATTTGTATGCAGGAATAATACTCATACCATTGCTGAAAGTTAAGAAAATGGTAATATAAAAAAATAATTCAAAGTCTAAAACCCTTGACTAATATCGACTGTATTAGATAAACAAAAGATAAGGTAAATAAAAGTAAATGCATCCATCTGTTAACTACTCATGAGAAATCATTAGAGCTTGGTTAAAGAAAATGACAGCTCTAGTGGGACCCAATAAACTCCTCCCACTCAAAGTGGAGCAGTGGAGGCAGAGGAGCCAAGCTTCCCTTGTGTGGGCCAAGGTCCTTCCAGTAAATTATGAATGACATAAAGCATTCTTTGCAGTTCAGGTTGTGAGGATCTCCCCATCCTGACACAGAGGCAGTGGTGAGAACAGAACCATCCCCCTGAGCTGAAGTATAACTTTTTGGGCTAGACGGAGAACGCTAGAGGTGGATTGGGACCACTATAATCTTCCTTCCTCATTAATACTCTTCTGATCTGGGTGAGGTACAACACTTCAAGTATCCTAATCAGCAACTGGCAAAGGACCCCGATTGCTACTATACCTTCATGTGTGGAGAACACATTGAGAGTAAACCAGAAGAAACAAAAAAAATAATAGGAATTAGATATTTCAGTTTGATGCCAGTCTTCCACTACACGAGATTAGTACTTGAACATGGTAGAATTAAAATTACTTGATATTCATGAAACAGGAAAGCTAGATATAGAATTTAACTTTTTAGCAAAACTAGACTCTATCACAGAAGGCTTCAGTAATAAAATGTAGTTAAGTATAACTTAACTCACTACAGAAGAAAAAACATTGGATAGGTTTCCTGAGTGTGTTCTGAATACCTTCAGAAGTGTTCATATAAGAAATAAGGGACCAAAGCAAAACTGGAATAAAACACCACTCACTCCCAGTAGACTAGCCCAAAGCCTGGAAGTATGACCAGCTTGGCTGCTGACTATTTATCAGGCACTTGAATTTTCCCTTAGTAGGAAAACCTCTTCGTCACAAACATAGAATTTCTGGGTTTTATTTAGTTGACTATTACTTCTATCACTGCTGACAGGTTATATTTGCTGAAAGAAGATTCTGAACCCAATCAAGACTTAATTTCAAGTGGCTTACTGGAATTATTGCATGAAGTAATGGATGTAATTGGAGTTACTCATCATAATACAAAGGTGCAGTCTGTGTCAGATCTCAGAGGTACAGCTGTTATCTATCTAATGGCATAGTTTATTTATATCCCTCATGTGGCTACATTCTTCTTACTTTAAAGCTCAGGCTGTTTCTTCAAGCTCTAAATAAAATATAAAATGAGAACGGACTATTTTGTTTACTGTCTCAAGATCTGAAAGATTGCTATGATTTAAACATTTTTTTCCCTGAACAGGAGGCCAAACTCTTATTGAGTCTCCTCATATTATTCTAGTACAGCCAGTCAGTTAATCTTCACGGCCAAATGTAACTTGTTACCTTGAAGTACAGAGTCCCAAAGACAAGTGTCTGAGACAATCAGATTATTGCAATATTAGTTTTAATGACAAAGTATTGCCATAGTTTGGATTATGCATATGATTTCACATTTACATGCACACAATTTATACGAGTAGAGTGATGATGTAAAAATCAGATTTCCCTATTTAGTGGTGTGAAAAATATTCTAAAGCTATTATAAATAAAGGAGTTTAAAATCCTAAAGAAGCTATTAAGAACAGACTATGCCTTCCAAGCCTCTGCGGTAGAGTTTGTGTCCTGTGAAAAGAAAATAAGTTAATCAGGGATCACAGAATAGAATATAAATGGGTCTGTATTTATTTATAGTACTTCTGAGCACCGGTCAAATACATACTGCAAGAATTCAGTGCAGATTTTCCAAAGATGGCAGTAAATGCCATTGTCTGTCTTATGAAGTGACAAGGAAGCTGATGCATCTATTTGGGAATACTGCTGAAGAGCTTGACGGATATTAGGAGGGGTTGAGAAAAAGGCCTCTGAAGATCCTTTTGACAACATGCTTCTAGACCAGCTCCTCCAGGAAGCTCTAAGTTCTTCCACTTCCCACTGCATTAGAAGTCCTTACGTTCTGCTACAACGTTGTTACTATGATTGGGTTATAACTACTGTTTTAATATTAAAACATGGTAGAAAATTGTAAAAAAACAATTCTTGAGGATGTGAGACTTGAAGGGAGGTAGGGTTTTCAATACGTTTGATCCTAAGAGTAACTATTGCTTTGGTACATGTCCATTTTATTCCTTTCACATCGGAAAAAGAAGGTAAAAATTATAGACAATTTGTAGCAGAGTTATTAAAATTCAAGAATATTGCCACTAGAAAATTAGTACTTGATGGGATAATGGGAAAATTAGGTCTCCTAGTTTATTTCCTTAGCAAAAAGAAAAAAAAAAAAAAAAACACAAAGTAGAAAACAACCCAAATGGATTTGGAAAAAGTCACTTTTGAAATACACAAGGCAAACATTTTTCACTAGAAAGTTGCACTGATTTTGACTGTAACAGTACATTTGAGAACATCAATATATATATAAAGTAATACCTCTCCAGTTCAAATAAAATTATGCAGCAAAGAGATAATTTATGCAGTGTAACTATTCACATATGGGAAGAGAGATTACTGACAGAACATTATCAAGGCACACGTACCCTCTTTGCATTTTTTGCTGATCTAACAAATTCAGTACGACTTCTATTTACGTATCAAGCCATAACAATTGCTCAGTGGTGTTCTTCGATTAAATTAAAGACATCACAGATAAAGCCTTAAGGTTATTTGTAATCATCTTCTTTAACTATTAGTTAGCTCTTCTGGTACTATTGTAATAACTTCAGTTCCTCTGTAGAAATTTTATTTTGCAAATTATTTTGTAGTCATGCCATTTGTGTAGTTGTGTCATGTGCATGTGCTTATTGTATACTCTCCTTACAAAAGCCAGTCCTTCTAAACTCAAAATCACTTCTGATGGTCCTTACCAAAATTTTCTTCAAACTTGACACATAGCTCTGATATTGATTCATACGTCCGTCACTATAGTCCAGGAACAGTGGCATGAAAACATATCAAAGGCACCTCATTTTTTGTCTGGGATTAGATACTTCTGTGTAATAGGTGCCATTCCTTCACTTTTATTCCTCACATGCCAAGCAAACAAATCTTTCAAGCTGGTGGAAATATTCTCACCTTCTTTACCTAGAACATGGTCATAAAGAAACTATCAGAACTTACTTCTCCCATAAACTGACATTGTTGTCTTTGGACTTTCTGTATTTCTGTACTCCTTATTAGTGACCCTATAACAAATTGATTTTTCAGTATAGCTCTTTTAAATGTTTAGGAAGTGTTGAGTATTTTTTCTGCTTTGGCATCTGTCTTGCTGGTTGATTCATTTTAGATTTGCTGCTCAATATACATGAGTCCTGGTCATAATTTTCACAACAGAAATAATCACTACCTCAAGCTGAGGTTTACATCTAGGAGAACACTCGGAACTAGCAGCCTACCTTAGATTTATACCAGGGTCCTCAAGCTGAAATGCAGCACTGCAAGCTGTTTGGCTAGCAAAGGTCCCCTGATACCACAGGTCCATTTTCCAAAAAGAAATTAGCCCTGTTACAGTCCTACGGTGTTTTATTTAACACTCTACATCTCACCTGAGCCACCCGACTTCTAACTCTCTTGTTCTGCCCAACTCCCCTAAGGAGATGCAGTAATGGATGATTAGCATTCCAAAGCCATGCTTGCATCCTGTGCGCCTGTCATATTTAATTACATTTTAACTATATTCGTCTTCTGTAATAGCCTGAACATAATTTAGATAATTATTTTTTGCTCTCTTATTCTCTGACTATGCCTGTCTCACTTAGAGTTCCTTGCAATGAAAATCACTTTCTCTGCTCAAACGTATAAACAGACTCTTGGGCCAAGTGCTTTCATCTCTCCAACAGCAACAGCTGTCACTGAAAACTCGATGGCTTTGTGCATCCCACAATCTCTTCACCATATTCTATTCCAAGGAAGAAGAAAATCATCAGAAACCCCTCCACTTTCATGTTTCTTTTTGTCTTTTTCTTTATTAGGCTACTGAAAGAAGAATGAAATAAATGCTGATGTCCAGGTAAATTATAACAATAGCTTGCTATTGCTTAAACTATCTATAGGTCCAAAATAGCAATTCACCTCTTAAAGAATTTAATGGCTCTTCTCAGCATTTGGAATCCTTGCCTAGTTATTTCTATGTAAAGCTGCTATCTTTCTAAAGATTTATTATATATAATAGGATATAAATAGTAACCCTTCCACCTTATTTCTTTCTCTTCCAGAAAGAACAAGTTAAGAAGTGGAAGCTTATCTTTTATTGGGGTTTCCTAATGAGCCACTGGCAATACAAAATACTATCACACTGTGGGATCGCCAGAAAAACACTGGTTATAGCTGAAGCCAAGTTCAGGCCAAAGATGCAAGACAAAAGAGAAAGCTGTTACATGTAACTAACATTCCTCAAGATGTAACAACCATACCATATTCATATCATGGCTTGCCTTAGGCTAAGTATGTTCATTTTGTGTGTGTACATTGTGTCTCCTCACATACCAAGGTGACACAATCTCAATAATTTTGTTCCTCGCTCCAAGAAGAAAAGCAAAGCAGAGTTGGAAGCAAATGTGGAAATGAACAACACACCCTAAACAATTTAGATGACCAGCAATTAACCTCCATTTTGCTTTCTAGTGCTTGTTGACACATGCCTCGTTCTATAGC